ACTTTGAGTGCTAGACCAGGGATTTTGAACTTGATTCTGCAAGTAGTGGTTTCTTATTGAGTATTTTTGTGTAGATGGGACTGAAAGCAGGGTATAAAATTATTTGGAGGAGTGAGTATTAAGAGACTATTACAAGGCCGGGCGCAGTGACTTACGCCTGTAATCTCAGCACGTTGGGAGGCAGAGGCAGATGGATCACCTGAGGTCAGAAGTTCAAAACCAGCCTGGCCAACATGACGAAACCCCATCTGTACTAAAAATACAAAAATTAGCTGGATGTGGTGGCAAGCGCCTATAATCCCAGCTACCTGGGAGGCTGAGGCATGAAAATTGCTTGAACCTGGGAGGTGGAGGTTGCAGTGAGCCAAGATCGTGCCATTGCACTCCAGCCTGTGCAACAAGAGTGAAACGCTGTCTCAGGAAAAAAAAAAAGAGACTGTTAAAGTGATCTTGGTGTGAGGTTGTGAAAAAATCTGACTTCATTATTCATTTGATTTCCTTCTTACTCTTAATACTTTTTTTTTTTGAGATGGAGTCTGGCTCTGTTGCCCAGGCTGGAGTGCAGTGGAGTACAGTGGTGCTATCTCAGCTCACTGCAACCTCCACCTCCCTGGTTCAAGCAATTCCCCTGCCTGAGCCTCCTGAGTAGCCAGGATTACAGATACAAGCCACCACATCTGACTAATTTTTTTGTATTTTTAGTAGAGACGGGGTATCACCATGTTGGCCAGACTGGTCTTGAATTCCTGACCTCCGGCAAGTGCTGGGATTATAGGCATGAGGTACTGTGCCTGGCCAATACTATATTTTTTAAAAACACATATGCTCATTTGTTATTCTAGTTGCATATGGTTCTGTTTTTCTAGTAGTGCTTTTTGTCTTAGATGGCAGGTACTAGAAGGTATATATTAAGTCTGCCTGTCTATATGTTATACTTTTATGCCACAGAGCATGAGAATACTTTTTAATATGTCTTAAACTATCTTTTGAAAGTTTACAATTTTCACTCTAGAAATTTACTGCTAAAAATGCAGCAAACCATTACCATGGCACATGTATACCTGTGTAACAAACCTGCACGACCTGCACATGTACCCCAGAACTTAAATAAATAAATAAATTAAAAATGCTTTAAAACGTCAAATTTTTATGACTAGATTGAAGTAGACTAAAGAAGTGAAATATCCTTCTAGATTAAAAAAATTGAATAGTTCCTCACCTTAAGGATAGTCACTCTATTTTTTGAAGCATTTCTGAATTATTATTTCTTTTATCTCTTGAAACAAAGGAAACTGCTTCATAAGTTTTATTAGAGGGCAAAATCTTTTATTGTATTAAAAATGATTTTATAAATGACTTTTTAGAAGAGAATAACAATTAAAAAGATGTATATGAATCTTTGTTGAGTGTATAAAGACTCTCAATTGAGAAAATCTTTAAGATTCTAATTCATGTTGGGTACCTTGAATCCAAAGACTTTCTGAAGTGGAAGGAACTGCAAAAATCATTTAGTAATTCAGTAATTCTTAGAATATAGTCAGTGAATGTCTTCCTGGAGAGCCTAGAGATGATCCAACTTCCTGTAACTAGCTGAGTTATTCATAATTTAGATTTGGTGATCATAAAATAAAATTGCTGTGTTATTACAGTTTATTCAAAGCCTACATTATATTCTAAGAAGTCCAGCTATCTATAAAAATTGACTACATTTTAGAACTTGTGCATTTGAATTAATGGAATTACACCACTTTTTGCTACAGCAAGTATTATTTTGAGTAGATCACAGTGTTTAAATATTTCAGTTTTTGTTCTGTTATAAATACTATCTGATTAACTTCATCGATCTGATTATTGATTTAGTATATTATGTGGTGTTAGTGATAGCATCTTTGTAACAATAGTATTCACATTTTTTTTAGTTTTAAATTTTTTGTAGAGACAGGGTCTTTCCCTGTTGCCCAGGCTGGACTGCAGTGGTGTGATCCTAGCTCACTGCAGCCTTGAATTCCCGGGCTTAAGTGATCCTCTTACCTCAGCCTCCAGAGTAGCTTGGACTGCAGGCAGCCCCATTGTGTCTGGCGAATTTCTAAAAAATTTTTTATAGGCACAGGATCTTGCAATATGTCCCAGACTGTAACAACAGTAGTTTTTTATGTACAGCTTCCTAGTAATTGACCTCTAAGGCATTTGTGTATTCAAGTTCAATGATAAATTATCTATATGCCAATTACTAATTCTCTGAAAGTATTGTACAGTGGCACGTCTTTAAATTTTACCATTGGTCATTGCTACTCGTATCCTATTGCTACTGTAACAAATTGCCACACATTTAGTGGCTTAAAACAACACAAATTTATTTTCTTAGCAGTTCTGGAAATCAGAAATCTAAAGCAAAGCATTAGCAGGGTTGTTTTCCTTCTGAAGACTCTGAGAGAAGAATCCATTTTCTTGCTTTTATCAGTATCTAGAGAGTGCATTCACTTTTTGGCTCGTGACCCCTTCCTTGTATCACTTCAGCCATTGGCTTTTGTTATCACATCTCCTGCTACTTACTCATTTAGACCTTCTTGTCTCCTCTTTATAAGGACCCTTATGATTCCATTGAGTTCACTTACATAACCCACTCAGATAATCAGATAATACTCTATATCAAGATCCTTAACCTAGTCACATCTGCAGAGTCCCTTTTACTAAAGTAACATTCACAGCATCCAGGGTGGGCATCTTTGGGAGGCCATTATTCTGCCCTCCAGAGGCAGTACTAACCTCTGGAGCAAACAGAGGAAGTAGGTCCTGTTGCTAGATAACCCAAAGTCTGTGGTCTGCCCAGGCATCTCACCTGAGGAGTTATCAGCTAGATTGAAGTCCTAAATAATGAAAATTCTTAGGTTGCAGGGATCTCCTTATGTAAAGTTAAAATAACTGAAAATTTTAGCCACCAATTTATTACTTAAATGCTTATTTTCCCATGTTAAAATAATTTCATCTAACCAATAGCTGCTTGCTAAGTCTAACAGTTTATATTAATCATACATACAAAATTGTTAATGGGAGTTATTCTTGAACTGAAATGGAATAATAGGATACATTCTATTATTGTTGGTAATCTTCAACAATTACCAACTCGGGTTGATGTTGTTTCATCTATACTCTCACGTTCCTAATCCAGAGTTTTTGAACAAATCTGAGATAAATCATTTTATTCATAAATATTTACTGTTTGCATACATCTCTAAAATATGACTTTTCTTTAAAACTCTGATCATAAATACATTATGATTCCTAAAAATTAATAACTCTTGAGCCAAATAATTATTCAGTACCTATACTTCCCTGATTATTTCATATCCTTTTTATAGTAGGTTGTTGGGTTGGACTTGGTTGATAAGTCACAAATCTTTTTGAATCTTTTAAATCTCTCCTACATCTGTTCTTAATTTTACCTTTCAATTTATTGAAGACACAATATAGTTTATTCTGTGGAGTTCTCTACAGTATGGGTATTCCCCTCGTGTTGATTGTTTAAGGTGTTCATCAGTCCCTTAAATTTCTTGCAAATTGGTTGTTAGAGGCTTGCACAGATTCAGGTTCAAATTTTTTTTTTGACAATAATGATGTATAAATGATATGTATAACTGTCAGGAGGCACATAATGTCTGATTGTCTCTCTTCATGTGATAATAGCAACCGTTGATGATCATTTTCTAGATCTGTTAGTTCAATAGGGGTATAAATTAGAATTCTAATTGGGTTAGAAAAGTGGAGGCTGGAAAGAATGATTATTATGACTAATCTATACCTTTTGAGCAAGCAAATCAATCAACATACTTTTTTTAATGCAATAAAAATTTATTTTTTATTTTAATTTTAAAAAAATTTGTGTGTGCATGTAGTGGGTGTATACTTTTTTTTTTTTTTTTTTTTTTTTGAGACGGAGTTTCACTCCTGTTACCCAGGCTGGAGTACAATGGTGCGATCTCGGCTCACTGCAACCTCCGCCTCCTGGGTTCAGGCAATTCTCCTGCCTCAGCCTCCCGAGTAGCTGGGATTACAGGCATGTACCACCATGCCCAGCTAATTTTTTGTATTTTTAGTAGAGACAGGGTTTCACCATGTTGACCAGGTTTGTCTCGATCTCTTGACCTCGTGATCCACCCGCCTCGGCCTCCCAAAGTGCTGGGATTACAGGCATGAGCCACCGTGCCCGGCCAGGGTGTATACTTTTATAGGGTATATGAGATGTTTTGATACAGGCATGTAATGCATAATAATCATATCATGGAAGGTGGGGTATCCATCCCCTTAAGCTTTTATACTTTGTGTTACAATCCAATTATATCCTTTTAGTTATTTTAAAATGTATAATCCAACAACCTTTTGTTAGGTTGCCACTTTATAGCTTTATTGGAACTTCTATTAAAAGGAGACATTTAGAAAATGTCAAAATAATTTGATAGATATACTTTGTTTACATCTCCATTAATTTAACTTCTGAAAGTTCTATTATTTTCAGAAGTAAAAAGTAAACTTTTTCTGAAAGCTTTGTTACTTTCAGTACTTAAATATTTGTAATTGCTTGAACTTCCTAAGAGGGAAAATATTGCTCAACATTTCCTATTGTGTAAGTACTAAAGACTTCATCTCATTTTATCATTTTTTAAAAATTTAACTTATTAGGTGATTATTCATGTTAGAGGCTTGAGTAATGTAAAAATCATGCAGGTGTATGATTGGACTCTGTAGTAAATTTGGGGAGCCTGGTTGGAGAAAGTGTTAGCTTTGAAAAAGAAAGAGGAAATAACCAGTTGCATACAGAGTATAACAGCAGAATTCCCAGCCACACATCTTTTATGTTTCTGTTATTCCTGGAAATCTTCTTAAAGTGGGTTCCCAGGACTCTGAGACTCTCTAAGACCCTTTCAGAGAATCTGTGAGATGTAAAAATTAGTTTTTTGTGTTAGTACCATTGTACTTGATATTATTTGTCTTTTTCTCATAAGTGCACAGTACAACTTTCCAGAGACCACATGAAATATGATGTCATTGCCCTGCTGGCGACTGGAGGGTGTGCCTGTGAATTCTTTTGTTTCAATTTTTTTTAGTTTAATTTTTTCTAAGAGGTAATTTTTTAAAATAAACTTTGTTTTAGAACAGCATTAGGTTTGCAGAAAAATTGTAAGGTAATAGAGTTCCCATATATGTTGTACCCACCTTCCCCTATTAGGAACGTCTTATTTTGGTGTGGTACATTTGATACAGTTGATGAACCTGTGTTGATACAACAGAAATCTATACTTGATTCAGATTTATTTAGTTTTATTTATTATTTATTATTAATTAATTAATTAATTTAGTTTTGACATAATGTTCTTTTTCTGTTCCAGGATCCAACTAAGGATGCCACGTTACATGTAGTTGCTGTGTTTCCTTACGTTCCTCTTGGCTATGACCGTGTGTCACTTTCTTTGTTTTGGATGAACCTTGACTGTTTTGAGGGGCACTATTCAGTTATTTTGCATAGTATCCCTCAACTAGAATTTGTTTGATGTGTTTTTCATGATTAGACTAAGTTTAGTGGATTTTGAGAAGGAAGACCACAGCGATAAAGTACCGTTTTCATCACATCATAACAAGGGTATATTCTGTCAGCATAACTCATTTTTACTGTTGACCATGATCAACTGGCTGAGGTAGTTAGTAAATTTCCCATTAAAATTTTAATTCAGAAACTATTACTAGGTATAATCCACATATAAATAGCTCTTTGGAGTCCTCAACAGTTTCTAAGAGTATAAAGGAATCTCGAGACCCAAAAGTTTGAGAGTTGCTCATCTAATCCTTAAGCAGCTAACACTTTGAGAAAGAACAATTGACAGCTGCCTGATAGGACAAAAGGAACCTAGAAGATGAGGGTTGGGGCTAGAAGGGGAGAAGAAAGAATTGACGGCCTTTAATAATAGGGGAGTGATACCAAGATAAACTCTGGCTACTTTATAACTGTACTTTGCGTTGAGACAGGACCTCTACCTTTCAGTAGTTTTTGACTTTGTTTCTTTCTTTTCTCATTTGGTCATTTAACAGATATTTGTTGAATGTCTGCTTACTTTTCATTAGTTTTAATATTTTGTCTGATTCATATCATCTGCAAATAATGTTTTTTCCCTTTTTCTTCCATTCCTTATGCAGCTGTGCATATGGCTTTATGACTGTATGTCTGGGGATTAGACTTGGGGAGTCTTTTCTAGAAGAGTATTGATTCTGTTTAGGTTTTCAAAATTATTTAAAATTTAACATTATTATTTAAATCTTTTATGTCTTCCTTTTGCATCTCTCATTTTGTGAATGTGGCATTTCTGCTTCATTCTTCCATCTTGCTTAACTTACGTATTTTGCATCCTTTTTCTTCCTGATGCCTTCTTGTTGAATTCCTTGGTCATTATTCTGGCTCATTAATTTGTTATTGGATCAAATTCATTTTGCTGTTCAAGCCTACTATATTTTATTTCTCTATAATATTTTTATACCCAGTATTATCAGCTTAAAAAAATTTGCTTTTTCATGCTTCAGTTTTATAATATCCTCCTTTATCTTTTCAAGCTTGTTTATTAAGTTTTTGATAAATTTGGTTCACTGATTTTCTTTTCTTTGACCAAGATTGTTCAGTTTGTTGTCTTTCCCAGCACTTGGGCTCCTTAGAATATTATTTTTGTTTGTGAGCTTATATTCGCTTAATAATATTCTTCTGGGAATATTAACTGGCTTGTCTAAGAGCCCAGGGACTACTTTTAGCCATTTTGGTCAATCTAGAGAATATATGTCTTAGGGTAGAAAATCTTTTTAATTAAAATCATAGCTTCCCCAATCCTCATTTCCCCCTACCACTTACATATTCTGTTTTTTAGGGAACTTTTCTGTATCTCTATTCTGAGCATACTTCTTACCCATAAGCTGTCTCCTTAGTTGTAAATGGCCCATTTGAGAGAAAGCACAGTGGAAGGTAGTAGTTGGCCTCTCTGTCTGCATTTAGAATGTGTGTACTGCAACAGTACTGCATGTGTGTACATGCACAGTTTAAAAACAACAATGCATACTTAGGATTGTGTTTATTTCCTCTATTTGGAATTAAATCATGTATTGTGCTCACAGTAAATACAGGGTGGTCAGCGATTAGAGAGAAGAGAGCATAGAAAGATAGCTGGCTTCTAACCCTTCCTCCTGTTCCCTCCTCCTGTTCCCTTCCCCTGGCCTTTCCTTCTTCTGTGATATTCCACTTTATCCATCTCCAGGTATGGGTTCAGGGGCTAGGGTGGGGTGGGGATGTGTTACTTTACTAGTAATTCAGTTATCACTTGCAAAAGCAATTGCCTTCTTCTTTATTGGCTTTGGATTCTCTGTGTATAGAGAGGCTGGAAGTGGACTAGAGATTTTAAAGAACACCAGAACTGTTGGACAGTTAATTCATATTAAGATCTTTGTCACATGGGATATGCCTACAGTTTAAAAATAAAATGTAGAACTCTTAAGGGACCACCTGAAAAAACAGACTGTCGTTTACTCAGTGTAGACAGTGAAATCATTTAACAGAAGAATAGTCAAAGCTATTTGTTTTGCTAAGCCAGACTTGGGGAGGAGAACTGGCTTTAAAGACTTCTTATTTCTTTCAGTATCCATAAATAATGTAACTACTCAGCTTTTAAACGTAAGATTTTTTATAAGCATTGTCATTTGCTCTTTCTTTCAAGTTTTAAGACATGCCAGAGCTTCTCATAAGCAGGATATAATTAAAGCTTAGACACCCACAACTTCACATTTAACTCTTAAATAAAATGGTATATGTTAAGAATCTTACATTTAAGAATAAATTAAATTTGTGGGAGTCCCATAAAACCTCAGAAAGAAATGTAAAGAATTCAAATTTTAGCATGTTAGAGATATGTGAAGATAAAATATAGTTAAAAGTCCAACCAAATCTCAACCTGTCTTTCTAGTGACAATAGAACAATAAAAGGATTTTTATCCATACCTCAGCTTAGTAGGTTTTCATTAACTGTGACTGCTTCAGAAGTCACTGTTTCAGAAGTCAACTTAAGTTTAATATGGTGAAAGTCGCAGCAATGGAGCAAGAGGAAGCTTGGGGATTGGGCAATGAATTTATATACATGTGTCTGTCTATGTACACACATACCTATACACATAAAATTTAATTTTGGGCTGGGTGCAGTGCCTCACATCTGTAATCCCAGCACTTTGGGAGGCTGAAGCAGGACTGCTTGAGCCTGGTAGTGCGAGACCAGCCTGCGCAACATAGTAAGACCTTGTTTCTACAAATAATAAAAAAAAATTAGCTGGTTGTGATGGCATGCATCCGTGGTCCCAGCTACTCAAGAGGCTGAATTGGGAGGATCACCAGAGCCCTGGTGATTGAGGCTGCAGTGAGCCAAGATCATGTCACTGCACTCCACACTTGGGCGACAGAGTGAGACCCTGCCTCCCTCCAAAAAATCTTAATATAATTTTCATACATATACTTATAAAATTAAATTTTAGGTATATATGTATGTGTGTACATAGACACACAAATGCCTGTATATAAATGTATCCCCCCATCCCAGGCTTGCTTTTACTCCATTGCTGCTGTTTTCACCATATTAAACTTAAGTTGACTTCTGAAGCAGTCACAAGTTAATGAAAACCTACTAAGTTGAGATATGGATAAAAAATCTCTTCATTGTTCTACTGTCACTAGACAGACAAGTGAAGATTTGGTGGGACTTTCAATCAAAATATTTTAAAAATTTTACATATTTTAAATGTATTTTATTTAAACTTTATTGAGGTCAGCAAACTAACCTACCTTCATTAAACACATTCTACACATAGTATACCCTTCTAGATTCATGCCTACACTGTGTTAAGAGCAGATTTTATTTAGGTCTGATTGGTAAAACTGTTGACTGCATTAGGGGAATTACTGGAAAATAAAGCAAATAGAAATGAATAATGACTAATGTTTATTTCTACTACGTGCCAGCAGCTATTCAAAGTGCCCTGCCCATAAATTCATTTAATCTTAAAAATAACCCTATGAGATAGATAGAATTATGAGGATACAGAGCAAGGGACAACATACCTAGTAAGTAGCAGAGCTGGGATACATTTTAGCTCCAGGGGCGAGCCTTTAATCACTTTCCTATACCGCGTCTCTTTGAATCAGATTATACAGGGCCTTCAATACTGTTTTACTATTTGGGATGTTTGTTGTTAACACAGTATCAGATTCTTGAAGATTTTGGAGCAGGGAACCAACCTGTTCAGAGTTGTGGTTTAGGAATATCACCATTGCAAAATTGTGGAATTCAGTTGGAGAGGCAACCAACTGAACTTTAGAGTTATCTGGAGTGTTTTGAAAAACTGATGTACAGCTACATCCCTATTCAATTGAATTAGAATCTCAGAGGGTAAGTTACATATACCAGTACCTTTTAAAGTCCCTTAGTTGATTTTGATGTGCAACTAAGGTTGAAAACCATAGAAATAGAGGTGGTTAGTTCAGGGAACAAGTTAGCATGCTGTTGTGAAATCTAGATAAAAGACAATTAAAACTTTTATGGTAGTGTTAGCAGCATAGAAAAGATGTGAAAGGAATTAGAGTTGCAAATCAGCAGGACCTGGTGATTGATTGGATGTGTGATTTCAGGATGATAGTAAGACCAATTTTATATATATTAAACATGTAGAATGTTAAAAATGATGTTAAGATGGTGGCATCCTCTTTTTACAGATGCAGAAACTGAGATTAAGGGAAATTATATAGCTTTTCCCAAGCTATACAACAGGTAGATGATGGAGTCAGGACTTGAACTCAGGCCTTTGCATATCAAGTTACATTTTATTTCTATGAGTTTTAGGGCATTAATATGTTTAGCATTAATTCATACTGGAAGGGATAGCATTGCTATAGATGAGCCTACATGATGCAGAGGGGATCAGAAAAGTCAGTTATTTTAGAGGAGTTGAAAAGTCAGTATCAGGAAAGTTTTTTTAGACAAGGTAATGCTTAACCTGAGTGTTGAAAGGAACTTAGGTATTTATCTGCCTGCTGAAGGTGAGAATGGCATTGTAGGCAAACAGAGTTGTGAGAGTAACAAACAACATGGTGTGTTTGAAGAAGTGAAAATAATTTTGTCACATTTGTGAAGTGCAGGATTGATGCGTGTTTGGAGGAATGCATGACATAAGTTTGGCAAAATTGTGACGAGCCTTGAAGATGAGGTTAAATGTTTCTCTCTCCAGTTTTGGTAGGATGTGGGAGCCTACCAAGTGCAAAATTATTGAAGTGGTTTTTTAAGCTTCAGAGATCTAATCACATATACATTTTAGAAGGCTCTTTATGATATCTATAGAAGATAAATTGCTTAAGTATAAGAAATTCAGGTGGCAGGTAGTAGCAGTAACTGTGGACATGGAAAATAAAGGATAAATATGAAAGACTATGTAGAACTTTAGGACCTTGTCCTGAAATTAATATTAGGAGTGAAGGAGAATATAGGTGAGGAAAATAAAAGTGAAGGAGAAGTTTAGAGTGACGTCCAGGTTTCTGTGTTGTGTGATTTGGTGGGAGGTACCATTTGTTAAGGGAGAAAATACAGGAAGAAGAGCAGGGGTAGGGAATGGTAAGATGAAGTCAGTTTTGGACATGTTGACTTTGAGATGTGTAACAAGTGGAGGTGTACAGAGGCTTGGTGTCCCATGCAGTTTCTCTTTTAATCCTTTCTATAATACTGTAAGGTAGATGTTACTCTGTTTTTAAGAGGTGAAGAAACTGAGCCTCTGAAAGGGTAATTTGCATAAGGTCAGTTAGCTAGACAGTGGGCAGCACTAAGATCTAAATGTAAATATTTGAATTCTCAAAAGTAGGGCGAATTTTTTGTTATAAACTCATCTATATTACACCTAGACTTTTAAGCATTCTTTTAAAATTTTTATATTCATTACCTAATGTAATGTGGTATACATTGAAAAATATGTGATACATGATCTATTTTATTTAATCCAAAGCTTTGTTTTCCTGTAACTATTAATAATTTTGACTTTTCTATCTAGGCTGAATATTTTGACATTTGGGCACCATGTAGTTCCTGAGACATGAGGAACAGTTGCTAATTGCATTCTTACGTGTGGTAGATTTATGAGTCATGGGGGTTGACGTTTCCATGTTATTATTAGCAGTCTTGCCTGTGGCTTGATGCTATGGAGTGTAATACACTAATCAATGATTTGTTAGAAATGGAATAGAAATCCAGAAGGAATGAAGGTATTTTTTTATGCAGCTCTTATGTCTTAATTCAGATCTCAGTCATGATTTAATCTAGAATGTAGGCTTATGTATGCATCTCTATATAAGAATGCAAAGAATTGGCCAAAATAAAATTTCAAGTAAGATAAGCATTTACTTCAGATTGACAATTGAAATGAGTGAAACAGGTCATAAGATGAAGCATCAAACACTGAAATGTTTATGTATATGCCGTCTCATATAACCAGTTCTCATATCACCTGCCATGATTGTGATGTGATAATATGGTTTCAGTTGTGCAATTTCATAACCTTTTGAGGCAACTGTGGCTGGTTAGGCTAGATTTAGAGGAAAATGTTGATGAGGTCAAAGCCCAAGGTTATGGCTTTAAATCTTTTGGTGGGTAGTAAACTTCTGGTTTCCTAACCACAGAATCCACCAGCAGTCTCACCAGATGCATGCCATTAGATACAAGTGAAAATCATATTGGTTAATTTTGAGCTTCTCTTGTGTGTGAAACCTTGATAAAGGAGGTTGGATTAATCATGGCAAGAGACGACCAGTGTGAGAAGAAACATAATTTATGTTTTGTTACCAAAAACTGATAGTGAATCTGTAACAATGTTGTTTTATTCAGGACAGAACTATTTAAGGAAAAGAATGGGGGAATTCCTATTGGAATTTATCAGATGGCCAAAGACTTGGCTAGGTATTAAGGTTATAATCACTAAGCCTTTTTTTCCCCATTCTTGTATTTATTCGTTCAGTATTTGTTGAGTGTCTGTAATGGTGCCAGGCTCTGTTCTAGTTTTAAGGGATATAGCCGTTAACAAAATTCCCACTCCAGTGGAGCTGACATTTGAGTAGAGAAAGACAGAAAAATATATAAATACTGTGTTATGGGATGATTGCTGATGAAAAATAAAGCAGGGTAAAAGGATATAGAGTAACAGAAGAGGGGATGAATGCTGTTCTTGGGAGTATTGTGGAAGTATTCTGATGAAGTAGCTTTTGAGCAGAATCCTAAAGGAAGTTTTCCAAGCAGAAATAAGAACTAAGAGTAAAGCTTGCGTATCTATTACACAGGCAGTGGTGGTTAGACTGTAAGCATTCGGGGTTGTGGGAAAGGCTGAGTGAAAGGCCTTTCCTCCTACCCAGTCAGTAAGATGGAAGTACAGGATCAGTGTTGCTAGGAACACATGGAGCTCTGTGGGCTTTCCCCTGCAATCTGATCTGATAATAGAAGGATGCAATGACAAGACAGATGGAATATGTTTGTTATGCCTGCAGTGGGAAGTCAGGAAATCCCTTACCAAGGATGTCACGCTGTATATAAGAAGAATGAATTCACTTAGAGAATCATTGGAATGGCCTTGAGGGGCTGCAGCTCAGGAGAGGGCAAGGTAGGAAACTGATTTGGGGAGTTAGTGGTGAATTGATCCCTTTAAAAAATCAAGTCAATGGAATCATATGGGGAAATCATGTTGAATGGAAACAAGAGATTCTAGGATGCAAAGGAGCCAAGTATAGAGAGGGAGGAGAAAGAGAAAATAGCTTGGAAACTAA